TGAACGGAAGACAGGGGTTAGCGAGAGGGGCGCAGGAACAGCCGACCGGATCGCGCTCGCCGGAGTTGGGCGGATCGTCCGCCACGATCCGCAGTGCGTCGATCTCCGCCACCAGAGCAGACAGCGGAAGCTGGTGCGCCTCCGCCGCGTCCTCCAGCGCCGTCCAGAACACCGGTTCCGTGCTGATCGAGGTCTGGTGCCCCGCGATCGTGATCGAGCGTTTGACCGGTCCGACGAACCCGTGCGCCGGGGCCGCGATCCGGCTCATGGCGTGTCGAACAGGCTGGCCAATTGCTCGATGATCGTGCCGCCCAATTGCTCGGCGTCCATGATCGTCACCGCGCGGGCATAATAGCGGGTCACGTCATGGCCGATGCCGATGGCGACCAATCTGACCGGGCTCTTGGTCTCGATCCAGCCGATCACCCGCGCAGATGGCGCTCCAGATAGCTGCCCGAATTGACCGACAGGGTCGAATCGTCGACCGGCGCGCCGTCGGAGATGACCATCAGGATGCGCCGCTCCTCGGGCCTGCGCGACCAACCGGCCATGCGCCCAGAGCAGCGCCTCGCCGTCGATATTCTCCTTGAGCAGCCCCTCACGCATCATCAGGCCGAGATTGTTACGCGCGCCGCCACGGCTCGTCCGCCTGCTTATAGACGATATGGCGAATATCGTTCCAGCCGCCCCGCTGCGGCGGACGTCCGGCGGCGAGCCGTTTCGCGGCTTTGCCCACCTTTCCACGCGCGGGTGGTGAAGAGGAGGATTTCGGTCTTCACCCCCGCACCGCTCCAGTGTGCGCGCGAGGATATCGGCGGAGATGGCGGCGATCCTGATCGGCCGCCCGCGCATAGACCCCGAATTGTCGATCAGCAGGGTGACGACGGTGTCGCGGAAATCGGTATCGCGCTCGATCTTGTAGGACAGCGACTGGCCGGGATTGACCACGACTCGCGCCAGCCGCGCCGCGTCGAGAATGCCCTCTTCCCGGTCGAAGTCCTGGAGCGCGACTGCTGCGCCATCAACCGGCGTTGCAGCCGGTTGGCAAGCTTCGACACCGCCGATTGCAGATGCGCCAGCTGCTGGTCGAGATAACCGCGAAGCCGCGCCAGTTCGTCGGCGTCGCACAGCTCACCGGCGGCGATCACCTCGTCGAACTGGGTGGTCCAGGCTTGTAATCGAACTGCGCCGATGGATCGATCAGCGGGCGGTTGGGGCGCGTCGGCTGGCTGCCCTCGTCGCCGTCGTCGCCGGATCGCCGTCGAGATCGTCGAAGGATTCCGGCTCTGGTCCTGGGATTCGCCATCCTCGCTGTCCGGTCCACGCTTTTTTCGAGCGCGCCTCGACCTCGCCTTCGCCTTTGGCCCCTGCTCGTCGTTATCCTCGTCGCTCTCGTCCTGCTGCTGTTCGTCCTCGCCCTCTTCCTCATTGCCGCCTTCATCGGCCTCTTCGGGTTCGGCGGGGGCTCGGCGAGTTCGAGATCGGCGAGCATCTTGGCCGCCAGCGTCTGGAACGCCTTCTGGTCGTCCATCGCGCCCGCCAACGCGTCGAGATCGGTCGCGCCTCCAGCCAGTCGCGGACCAGCGCCAATGCGGGCGCGGTCTCGGCGGGCGAGGGACGTCCCGTCATCCGCTCGCGCAAGAGCAAAGCCCAACGCGGTCGACAGCGGCACTTCGTCGCGGTTGCGCGCCCGGGTCATTGGGTCGGGCGTAGCCGCACGTCGAGCGCATGGGCTAGGTTGTCGCCGATCCCGCATAGCCGCGTGAGCCCAGCGCCTCGACTCGTGCCGTCTCGACCGTCATAGACCGCGCGCGCCACCGCCTCGACTGGCGCGGATCGGGCGTGAAGTGCGGTGTCGTGCAGCTTCAGCCGCAGCGCGAAGGCGTCGGCGAACCCGCGCGCCTCCGCCACCTGATCGGCAGGCAGCACGCGCGGGCATCGGGCACGCGGATATGCTTGCCCGATGCGGTGGGCGCATCGGCGGTGAAGGCTCGACCTCCGGCTCCTGCGCGATGGTGCGCGCCGTGCCGCCAGGACCGCCTTGAACCGGTCAAGAGGGTTTCGTTCGCCAAAGATCAAGCCCGGCCGACGACGCTTTCGGCAGGTCCTGCCGAAGACGCGCTGATAATATTCCGCCACCAGCGCACGCTCATTCTCGTCACACTTGTTGAGGAATGACAGGCGGAAGGAAAGCCCGGATCGCCGAAGATCAGCGTGTTCTGCGCCCGTGATGACCGTGCGCGGGCTCATCACGGTCGAGATATCGCCGTTGATGAAGCCCTTGCGGGTCATGTCGGCGACGCGGACCATGTTCTCGACCAGCTGCTTGCCATCGGGTTTGTCATACTCCCCGACTTGGCGAGCACGATCTGCGCCTCGGTGACGGCGGGCAGATAGTTGAGCGTGACCACGATGTTCCAGCGGTCCATCTGGCCCGGTTGATCTGCTGCGTCCCGTGATACAGCCCGCTGGTGTCGCCGAGGCCGACCGTATTGGCGGTGGCGAACAGCCGGAACCACTTGTTCGGGCGGATCACGCGGTTCTGGTCGAGCAGGGTCAGCTTGCCCTCGGTTTCCAGCACGCGCTGGATCACGAACATCACGTCGGGGCGGCCGGCATCATATTCGTCGAAGACGAGTGCGGTCGGCGTCTGGAGCGCCTGGGGGCAGGCCCTCACGGAACTCCGTCACCTGCTGCCCGTCCTTCAGGACGATGGCGTCGCGGCCGATCAGGTCGATGCGGCTGATGTGCGCGTCGAGGTTGATGCGGATACACGGCCAGTTGAGGCGGGCGGCGACCTGCTCGATATGACTCGACTTGCCGGTGCCGTGATAGCCCCTGCACCATCACGCGGCGGTTGTGCGCGAAACCGGCCAGATCGCGAGCGTCGTGTCGGGATCGAACACATAAGCGGGATCGAGATCGGGGACGCGCTCATCGGCTTGCGAGAAAGCCGGAACTTCCATGTCGGTATCAATGCCGAACAGGTCGCGCACCGACACCATCTTGTCGGGTGCATCGAGAATCGTCGTATCGCGGCTGTCGGGAAGCGTATTCGGGATGTTGGTCATCAGGCCCTCGTCTCGTCGCTCAACGCCTTAGGCCAAGCGCGGCTCCCTACCAATGGCGGTGATCGCAGGAAGATGGCGGATCGACGCCCCTGACGGGCGATTGCATGCATCGGATATCGGGTCATTCTCGGGTCAGCGAGTCGACAGGCAAGAGGCGGCGTATCGCCCGACATCGGCACAATCGCGAAGAGGGATGGGATATGGCGAATTTCATCTGGTACGAATTGCTGGCCGACGATCTGGCGGCGGCGCAGGATTTCTATGCGGCCGTTCTCGGCTGGCAGGTCTGCGACAGCGGCATTGCGGGCATCGACTATCGCATCGTCGCCACCACCGAGGGCGAGGCGATCGGCGGCCTGATGCAGCGGCCGGCGGCTCGCCGTGCGGGCCGGTTTGGCTCGGCTATCTGCCAGTCGTCGATGTCGACGAATCGTTGGGCGCCATCGTCGAGGACGGCGGATCGGTGCTGATGCCCGCCCGGACCATGGAAGGGGTGGGGCGGATGGCGCTGGTCAGCGATCCACTGGGCGCGCCCTTCTATATCATGGCGTCGGAAGACGAGCGGCCGTCGCGCGCCTTTGCCGAACATGGCACCGCCCCGCGATCGGCCATGTCGTGTGGAACGAGCGGATCGCCAGCGACCCCGACCGGGCGCTCGGCTTTTTTCGGCCGGCATTTCGGCTGACCCAGCAGGGCGGGATGCCGATGGGCGAGCTAGGCGAGTATCGCTTCCTCGCCGATGGACCGGTGATGCTGGGGCCTTGATGGGGGTGCCGCCGGGCGAGCAGCCGGGCTGGCGTTTCTATTTCGCGGTGGATGATATCGACGCGGCGGCGGCGCGGATCTGCGAGGCCGGGGCGGAATCGAGATGGAGCCGATGGAAATTCTCGGCGGGAATATTCGCTGTCGGCGCGCGATCCACAAGGTGCGCGGTTCGACTGGTCGGGCCGCGGAGGTAACGAAAATTCCTACCCTGTAAGGGAGGTGACAGTTCGAAGGACGGACGGTGGGTGTCACCATCAGCGGGGACACCCACCGTCAGCTTCGTTGGTCCCCCCCCTTACAGGGGAGGAACAGGGAATCACGCGAAGGCCGGGCTTTGGCGGAGTTGCTGATAGGCCGCGATCATTTTTGCAGCCGCCCTTCATGGCTGCGGTCCCCGCCATTGCGGTCGGGATGATAGCGTCGGACCAACTCGCTATAGCGCCGCCGCAGCGCACTGCGGTCGGCATCTGCCTCCAGCCCCAGTATCTTCAGGCTTTTATCCTGCCCCGATAGCGGCTTGCAGCGTCGTTGCGCTTTAGGCGCGGCCTCGCGGCGATAGCGCGCGGCGATGGCATCGAGCGGATCGGAGAAATGGCCCAACGCGGCCCCGGATCGGTGCCCCTTGCGCGAAGGCGCGGGTTTCGCGCTCCCAGCCCGCATAGGGCGTTGCGCGCGGTGGATCTCGTCCGCGCTCATGCCTTCGAAGAAATTATAGCGGCTGTTGAACGCGCGACATGCTCCAGCAAAACCAGCGGAACTGTCCCGGCCGTCGCCGCTGCGTGTGCCTTCCGCCGGCGGCGCGCGGAACTCGCCCGCTTCGTCGCAACCGGCGTGATCGCACGCGCGGCCGGTATTTTCGACCCGGCCGTGAAACCGTGAACCGGGTTTGTCCTGGGGTATCGCTGCTCGACCGACGCGCCACTGCTATCCGCTTGTCCCGAAAACCGTCTATATAGGGGCCATGACCGATATCACCACCGCCCCCGGCCTTTATCGCCGATCAGATCACCGCCCGTTTGACCGAGGCGTTGGCCCCACCCATCTGGAAGTCGTCAACGAAAGTGCGATGCATCGCGGCCATCTGGGCGATGACGGCACGGGCGAGAGCCATTTTCGCGTGATCGTCGAATCGCCCGCTTTTGCCGGCCAGTCGCGCGTCGCGCGTCAGCGCTCGTGAACCGCGCGCTCGCCGATCTGTTGTCGGAGCGCATCCATGCGCTGGCGATCAGCGCGAAAGCCCCGGAGAATAAGCATATGCCCGGCGACCTGTGGTACTGGCCCGGCCTGCCGGACGCGGCGAGTTCGTCCGGCTGACGCTGGAGGCCGCGGGTCTGCCCTATCGCGACCGTGGCGTGGAAGGGGGCGCCGAGGCGCTGCTCGCCAATATGGAAAAAGGGTGATCGCCGCCCTTTCGCGCCGCCTTACTTGCGCGTCGAGGGACAGGCGATCGCGCAGGTCGCCAACATCCTCCACTGGTTGACCGAGCGGCATGATCTCGCGCCGCACGCGGATCGGGTGTGGCTTCACCAGCTGCAACTGACGATCAGCGACATGGTGGCGGAGGTTCATAACGTGCACCATCCGGTCGCGATGATGGCCTATTATCACGAACAGAAGCCGGAGCGGCCCGCGCCGCCGCGCAGTTCCGTGAAGATCGCATCCCCAAATTCCTCGGCTATTTCGAGGAGGCGCTGGCGAATCGCGACTGGATGGCGGGCGGGCGCTGGTCGCCGGTCGACACCTCGCTATTCCAGATGGTCGCGGGGCTACGCTACATGTTCCCGAAGCGGATGGCAGCGATCGAGGGCGATTATCCCGCGCTGATCGCTCTGCGCGACCGCGTTACGAGTCTGCCCGGCATCGCGGCCTATCTGGACAGCGACCGGCGACAGCCCTTCAATGAAGACGGAATTTTCCGCCATTATCCGGAGCTTGATGCCGCATGATCGCCTGCCCTGTCCCGCCGCACGCATCCTGCTGGTCGATGCGAGTGGGCGGACGCTGATGTTCCGCTTCACCCCGATGATCGCCCGCCCTTCTGGTGCACGCCCGGCGGCGCGGTCGATCCGGGCGAGAGCTATGAGGAGGCCGCGCGCCGCGAATTGTGGAGGAAACCGGACTCGACCGCGATTGCGGGCAGCAGGTCGCCCGGCGGCAGGTCGAGTTCCGCACCATCGAGGGCGTCGAGGTCGATGCGGATGAGCGCTATTTCGTGTCGATGTCGATGCGCATGAGGTGAACGGCGCGGGCCATACCGTCCTTGAGCAGCGCGTGATGCAGAGCTGGCGCTGGTTCAGCCGCGAAGAACTCCTTGCCCATAGCGAGCCCTATTTCCCGACCGACCTGATCGCGTTGCTCGACGCCACGGAGCCGACCCATGTTTGACGATTTCCTGCTGCGGACCCTACAACCTTCCAGTCATGATCTGGCGGGTTCAAGGTGCATCGGACGCTGCCCAACAAGGAGCGGACGATGGTCGGCCCCTTCATATTCTTTCGACCAGATGGGTCCGGCGCAGCTCCCTGCCCGGATCCGGGATCGATGTGCGCCCGCATCCGCATATCAACCTGTCGACCGTCACCTATTTGTTCGATGGTGCGATCGGGCACCGCGATTCTGCTGGGCAGCGATCTGGTGATCGAGCCGGGCGCGGTAATTTGATGACCGCCGGCCATGGGATCGTCCATTCCGAACGCTCACCCAGCGAGGCCCGACCGCAAGGGCCCGTGCTGTCGGGCATCCAGACACGGCTGGCGCTTCCCGAAGCGCAGGAGGAAATCGACCCGGCGTTCGAGCATGTCCCCGCCGAGGCGCTGCCAGTGATCGAGGGGCAGGCGACCGCGCGAGTCATCATGGGGGAGTTGTGGGGACAGAGGTGCCGACGACGACCTATGCCGGCACCATCTATGCCGACATCGCGCTGGAGCCGGGCGGAGCGTGCCCGTGGATGCGAGCGCCGAGGAACGCGCCGTCTATTGCGCGCTGGGCGAGGCCAGCCGGAGGGCATGCCACTGGAGCCGCAGCGGCTCTATATCCCAGCCGGGGATCGCGACGACCTTGCGGTCGGAGCGCGGTGGCCGGGTGATGCTGTGCGGGGCGACGCGTTCACCACGCCGCGGCATGTGTGGTGGAATTTCGTCTCTTCCCGTCGCGAACGGATCGAGGAGGCCAAGCGGGCGTGAAAGCGCGCGAGTTTCCGACGTGCCGGGGATGATCTGGAGCGGATCGAGATCCGGAGATCCCGAAGACCGTCAGCTATCCGTGAGGGGGCTGGGCGTGGCCTTCGACTTCAGGCTGAACGGAGTGAGGGGCCCGGGCCCGATATCCCAACAGCCGTTCAGCCTGAGCGAAGTCGAAGGCCACGGGAAAGCGCCCGCCAAATCAGCGAACCACTACACCACCGATGTCAGAAAAATGGTGCCCAAGGGCGGGGATCGAACCACCGACACTGCGATTTTCAGTCGCATGCTCTACCAACTGAGCTACTTGGGCCCACACCGCGATTGCGATTGAGGCGTGCCTTTAGGGTGGTTTTCGCCGCTGTCCAGCCCTTCTTCGTCACTTTCTTTGACGGGAATGCGATAACCCTCGCCCAGCCATTGCAGCAGGTCGCGATCCTTGCACCCGCGCGAGCAGAAGGGGGCATGCTCGGGCGCGCTGGGTTTGTCGCAGATGGGGCAGGTGGTCATGATGCTCGTTCCAGTTGCAGCGGGCGACCGGTGCGGCGCGCGATCGCGTCGCGCCATTCGGGGTCGCCATCAATCGATCATATAGGGGCCGGGCAACCGATGCACGGGCGCGGGGCCCGGTGGTTCGCGCCCCATTGCCGCAGCAGCGCACGGGCGCGGGCACCGATGGGATCGATGCCGAGCCGCTCGAGGATCGAGGCGCGCGGGCGCGGGCGCACGATCTGAAGGAAGCCGAAGCCATTGACCGCCGTCCGCTCGAAGGGGAGGGAAGGGTCGCGTCCAGTGCCTCCGCCACCGCACGGCGCGGGCTTTGCCTTCCAGCGTCGGGAAGTCGATGCCGATCGATCCGCCGATGCCATGGCGCAGGATCGCACAGGCTACCGCGCGCGCGCGGCGCGATCGACAGCGGTTCGTGCGGCGGCGATCCGTCCACGTCGAACAGGGTCATCGCGGGCGTGGGCGTCATGCGCAGTACGCCGGGGCCGAAGCCGATCTCCCCGTCACCGCTTCGTCGAGCAGTTCGGACCAGCCGGCTGCTTCCAGATCGTCCGGTTGATGGGAGAGCAGTTCGCGCACGGGCAGGCCGGTGGCAGTGATGCGGGCGAAGAGATCGGGCCGGGGGCGGTGTCGCATCTTCAGGCGCGATCTGGGCTTTTGGGAGCTTTGCGCGACCCCGTTCAGGAATCGCTTCGCGGGTCACGATGACGGTGAGCGCCGACCCTGCGTCATCCCCTGGGGACCGGGGCGAGCAGCACGTCGCCCCCTTGCGTCAGCGTCACCCGCCCCTGTCGCCCGGGGAGCAGCTCGACCAGCCGTCCTGTGGCGACCGTGCCGACTGTCAGCGTGTCGGTCAGTTCGATCGCCGCTTCGACGATGCGACCATCCTCGACCCGCGCGGCGCGCGCCTCGCCGATCCCGGCCTCATAGAGCCATTCAGACAAGCGGCAGTCCGGCGGCTTTCAACAGGGCGCGCGTCTCGAACAGCGGCAGGCCGATCACACCCGAATGGCTGCCCTGCAGGAAGCGGACGAACGCCTCGGCGCGACCCCCGATGGCGTAGCCCCGGCTTTGCCCAACCCTCGCCGCACGCGATATAGGCGTCGATCTCCTCTTCGGAGAGCGGCTTAAACGCGACGATGGTGTCGGCCAGCCGGGTGCGCGCTTTGCCGACTGCGTCGATAACGCACACCGCCGACAGCGCATGATGCCGCCGCCCGGACAGCAGGCGCAGCAGCTTGCGCTGCACGTCCTCGGTTTCGGCAGGGGGCAGGGATGCGGCGGCCCAGCGCGATGGTGGTGTCACCCGCGACGACGATCTCTCCTTCGGCACGGGTGACCGCTTGGCCTTCTCCACCGCCAGCCGCAGCGCATAGACCTCGCGGCAGTTCGGCGGGGCGCGGCGCTTCGTCGATATCGGGCGAGGCGGTGCGGTCGGGCACGACCCAGCCGCGCCAGCAGATCGCGGCGGCGCGGGAGGAGGATGCAGGACGAGCGGCATGTGGGGCCGGTCGCTCACTTGAAGCGGTAGGTGATCCGGCCCTTGGTCAGGTCATACGGCGTCAGCTCGACGAGCACTTCGTCGCCGACCAGCACGCGGATGCGGTTCTTGCGCATCTTGCCCGCCGTGTGCCCCAGATCTCGTGATCATTCTCGAGCTGGACGCGAACATCGCGTTGGGGAGAGTTCCACCACGCGGCCGCGCATCCGGAGCAGTTCTTCCTTGGCCAAAAAATACCTCGGTTCGTCGTGTTATAGGGTATGTCGAAGAGGCGCCGCCATAGCCGCAAAGGCGCCAAAGGAAAGACGGGCCTTCCGACCCCGGATATGGGGCGAAGGCAACGCCGCAAGACTGGTCGGCCCCTTTTATTCCTCCCCTGCAGGGGGGGGACCAGCGAAGCTGGTGGAGGGTGTAACCGGCAGTGAGGACGTCCCAAACTCACCGGCGGGACACCTCCGTCAGGCCTTTCGAGCCTGCCACCTCCCCTTGCAGGGGAGGAATGAACCTCGTCACGCCGGATTATACTTGGCCAGAAACGCCGCCATCGCCTTCAGGAATTCCAACCGGTCCTCGCCGCGCGTGAAATGATGGTCGGCCAGCGGTTGTCTGATATAGTTCACCGGCTTGCCCGCGGCCTTAAGCGCAGCGGCCATCATCCGCGCGACTGGTTGACGGGCACGCGCTTGTCCTCCTTGCCATGCACACGATCAGCAGCGGGATCGTCATGGAAGCGGGCGCCGAAGCGCGGTGACACGGCGCGGTAATCGGGGGCCTGTTTATGCAGCCAATCGGCGCGTGTCTTGCCGAACAGGAAGCGCGAGTCGTAGCGCTTCATCGCCTGAAGATCCGACACGCCGGCATAGGAAATGGCGCAGCGATAAAGCGCCCCAATCACGCTGCGCCGCGCGCATCGCGGCGTAACCGCCATAGGACGCGCCGACCATGCACACCCCGCTTGGGTCGGCGATGCCTTCCTTCGCCAGATAGGTGACGGCGTCGTTCAGATCGTCCTGCATCTTTCAGGCCCCATTCGCCCTCGCCCTTCTTGGCAAAGTCGGTTACCAGCCGGACGAGCCGCGATAATTGGGCTGATCACCGCATAGCCGAGCTCGGCCAGATATTGCGTCCACCAGTCCCAGCTTTCCGAATCGCGCGCGAAAAGGCCCGCCATGGGGCAGCACGATCAGCGGTGATTCTTGTCCGGCCGGTCGCGCGGCAGGGTCAGCACCGCCTCGATCGCGGTGCCGTCGCGTGCGGCGTAGCGGACGCTGCGCACCGGCGACAGGCGGCGTCCACGCAGTTGCGGGTTGTTCCGTGTCAGGAACTGCATGTTCCCGTAATCGGTATCCCAATAATAGAGCGCGCCCGCCCGACGGACCGCCGACCTCGACCGGAAAGCGGGTGCGCGCGCGGTTCCATGAGGTGATCTCGGCCCGGCGCGGCGCGACCGCCTTGTCGACCGTGTTTGCAGTTCCTGATCCGCGGATCGGTCCAGCGTCGTGATAGCTCTGGTCGGTATAGCGGATGGCGGCGATATCGTCGCCCGTCCGTTGCCGATGACCCCGTCAATATCATAGCCGGTGACGCTGCTGAGCTTGCGGCCGAGCTTCAGGTCGGGGAGCGTGACTTCGTACAGCGCGTCGTAACCGTCGCTGTCGTCGATCGCGAGCGCGGTGCCATCGGCGCGGAAGATGCGCGGCACCAGCACCGATTCATCCTTGCGGCCATTGGCGCGGGCGATGGTGCGGAAGATCTGGCGTTGGACTGGCGATAGAGCAGGCTCTTCTGCCGGGTCTCGTCGCTGTAGCGCACGCCCATGCGCAACTGGGTCTCGCCGTCGGCATACCAGTCCCACACATCGGTCTGTCCGCTCGCGATCCGCTTTGACCCGTCCGGTCGAGACGTCCGCCTCGTACACCCGATGGGTAGACGTCCTGCATATTATAGATGCCCGTCTGCTTGGCGAACAGGATACGCGGGCTGCCGTCGCGGGCGGTCCACAGGACTTCGTCGGCGCGGAAGCCCGAATTTTCCCCAGTCGATCCGGACCATCTTGGTCATGTCGGCGCGGATGCCGATCAGGCGGGTGACGTGAAGTCTTCGCCCTGCAGCGTGTCCTCGCTGCCCAGCCCGACGACCAGCCATTCGTCATTGACCCAACGCCACCAATTGACGTCGACCTTGTCGCTCAGCGCCGCCAGCGCGGGCTTGCCCCGCCCTTGACGAGCGGCGCGACCATCAGGAACTGCTTGCCGTTGATCGCGCGTTTGGCGGCGATGCGGGTGCCGTCGGGTGACAGCGACGGGCTTTCGAACTCTGGCAGTAGGGCAAAGGCCTCGACCGGGACGGACCGGCGACGGGGGCGGACTGGCGGCGGCCGCGGGCGGCGGGGCGGCCTTTGTCCTGCGTCATACCGGTCAGGCTCATCAGGGCGAGCGCCATCATCGACGCGCCCAGCATCTTCGTCACATCCTCGTCACGTCATTCCCCCCCTCAGCCGGACAATCTCCCTGTGTCCGACTGACATGGATTAGCATCGGGCGGGCGGCGAAAAGAGGTTTCAGCGGCTCGATGCGTGTTCGAAACCAAGACGGGGGGGGGGGGGAACCGGACCGGCCGAGTCGGACAGGCTCAACCCCTCGCCATGGCGAAAATGCCCGATCCGCGTGGCGGGAACGGGTGGCACGCCTTCGGGGGCAGCGCGAAGAGCAGTTCGTAATCGTCCCCGGCAGTGGCGGCGGCCAGCCGGGGGGACGGTCCTCACCGGCATAAGCGCGCGCGGCCGGCGAAAGCGGAACCGCGTCGAGGTCGATCGCGACGGCAAGGCCGCTCGCAGCCGCCATCCGAGCGGCGTCGATCAACAGGCCATCGGACACGTCCATCATGGCGTGGACGATCGGGCCCAGCGCGCGCCCCCTTCGTCGAGCCGGGCTGGGGACGGCGATAGGCATCGCGCAAGCCCTCCTCGGCCCATCGGCGCCCATGGCGATGGCGAGCCCCAGCCCGCATCGCCGATCGTGCCAGTCACCCAGAGCATATCGCCGGGCTTCGCGCCGCTGCGTACCGGAGCGGCGGCATCGCGCCCCAAGGCGGTCAGCGTCAGGACACGGGGACCGCGTAAGGATACCGTGTCGCCGCCGATCAGCCGGGCGTCGAAACGGATGAGGACCGCCGACAGCCCCGCGAGGAACGCCTCGTCCCAGCCATCATCGCCCAGCGGATAGTTGAGCAGCACCCTTCGACCGTGGCGCCCTTGGCGGCGAGATCGGAGAGGTTGGTCGCGACCAGCTTCCACGCCACATCGCCGGGCGGGTCGTCGGGGAGGAAATGCACCCCCTCGACCAACGTGTCGGTGGTGACGACCAGCGGCCCGGTGTCGATCACCGCGCTGTCGTCCACCAGCCCATGCGCGCCGGGGTGCAACGGCATCCGGCGTAGATGAGCGATGAACTCCGCCTCGGTCATCGGCGGCGGGGCGTCAGGCCCGCGCGACCTTGGCGATCGCGTCGAGCAGGCCGTTGACGAAGCCCGATTCACGCTTCTCGTAGAAAGCATGGGCGACATCGACATATTCGCTGATCACCGCGCCCACAGGCACGTCACGGCGCGCGATCAGCTCGTAGGTGCCGGCGCGCAGGATCGCCTTCATCGGCCGATCGAGCCGGCTGAGCGTCCAGCCCGAGGCCAGCTTTGCCCTCGATCATCAGATCGATCTCGCCCAGCCGCGCATGCACGCCCTTCACGATGTCGTCGAAGAAATCGATGTCGGCATCGGCATATTCGACGTCTTCGATCGTCGCGCCGATGCGGTGGTTGTGAAACTCCATGGAGCAGCGCCGCCAGCGGGTCTTTTTCCGTGTCATGCTGATAAAGCGCCTGAACGGCGGCAAGGCGCGGCGGCGGCGCGCCCGGCTACGGGCGGTGGGACGAGTCATTGGCGGGCCTTTACCGGGCTGTCACCGATCCGTCACGCCCCTTTGGTGGGTGGTGGTGGTGGCCTTCGACTTCGCTCAGGCTGAACGGCGGTTGGGAAACTGGGCTGATACCCAACCCCGTTCAGCCTGAGCGAAGTCGAAGGCAAGCGCCGAACCCCTCACAATTCCCGACGGAAGTACACCACCCGCTCGGTCTCGGCGAACCTGAGCGCCCAGTGCATCGCATGACTGTCGAGATTGTCGAGTTCGGCATCCGATGCGAACTCCGTACACCCTTCTACCCGGCCCCATTCCGCCACCGCCGCGACCAGCGCGCGGGCCACACCGCGCCGCCGATGATCCGGATCGACAAAGAGTCCTTCCAGAAACGCCACCGGCGAACCGTCGCAGCCATTGACGTAATCGCGCCGAATCGCCGCCTCGGCAAAAGCGATCACCGCCGTCCACCAACGCGACGAAACTCCCGTCGCCCTCAGGCAAGTCCGCCGGATCGCCCGCTTCCTCGCCCCAGAGCGCCGTCCGCAACGCCAGCCATCGCTCCCGATGCCCCGGCGCGGCGGGCGTGACGATCACCGGCGGTTGAGCCGCAGCCGCAGTGCCACCGACTTGGCATGCGCGGGCAAGCCCTCGGCATGGGCGAGCGCCACCGTGGCTGGGCCCAGTTCGGCCAGCGCCGTCTCGGTCAGGCCGAGGAAGCTGGTCCGCTTTGGCGAAGTCGAGCACCGACAGCCTGCTGGCGAAGAGGCGCGGCGGCCGGTCGGCAGGACATGGTTCGGCCCCGCGACATAATCCCCAATCGCCCGGGCGTATGGCGGCCCAGAACACCGATCCGGCATGCCGCAAACGGTCGAACAGGCTCTGCGGATCGTCCACCGCCAGTTCGAGATGCTCGCGCCAGCCGGTCGACCAGCGGCATCGCGGCCTCCAGCGAATCGACGACGATGATCGCGCCGTTCGCGTCCTGCGCGGTACGCGCGACGCTAGCCGTCGCCAGTTCGGGGATTTGCCGGTCCACCGCCTCGGCGACGCGGGTCGCGAAGTCGGCATCGTCGGTGAACAGGATCGACTGGGTGACCGTGTCATGCTCGGCCCGCTCAGCAGGTCGGCGGCGATCCAGTCGGGGTCGTTCTGCCGTCCGCGACGACGACGATCTCGGAGGGGCCGGCGACCATGTCGATGCCGACCATGCCGTACACTTGTCGCTTGGCCTCCGCGACCCGTGCATTGCCGGGGCCGGTGACGACATCGACCCGCTGGATGCGGCCCGCCCCATAAGCCAGTGCGCCAATCGCCTGCGCCCCGCCGATCCGCCATACCTCATCGACGCCCGCCAGATGCGCGGCGGCGAGGACCAGATGGCTGATCTCGCCCTTAGGCGTCGGGGTGACCATCACCAGCCGTTTCGACCCCGGCCACCTTGGCGGGAATCGCGTTCATCAGCAGCGAGGAGGATAGGCCGCCCGCCCACCGGGGACATAAAGCCCCGCTGCATCCACCGCCGTCCAGCGCGCACCTGTGCGCACGCCCTGCGCATCGACATAGTCCGTGTCGGTCGGCTTCTGCTTTTCGTGATAGGCGCGGATGCGGCGGCGGCGAGATCGAGCGCGGCGCGGAGTTCCGGCTCCAGCGCCTCATAGGCGGCCCGGCAATCGGCGGGTTCGATCCGCCAGCCGGTCTCAGCCAGTCATGGCTGTCGAACTGCTTGGTAAAAGGCCGCCACCGCCGCCTCGCCATCGTCGCGAACCGCGCGCAGGATCACCTGCACGTCGCGCGCGACATCGGCATCGCTCTCGCGGCGAGCATCAACCCAGTTCGTCGAACGCCGCCGCGAACCCCGCTTCGCCCGTGTCGAGCCGGATCATGCCGTTTTCCTTTTCTGCCACGGCGCGGCGGAACGCCTCGACCAGCGGCACGACCCGTCCGCGCGTCTTCATCGCGGCGCGGTTGACGACTGTGCGCGAGGTGACCTCCCTCGATCACTCCACCTCGACCAGCCCGTTTTCCTTGAGCGTACGGCCCGACGACACCAGTCGACGATGCGCGGCGCCGTGCCCAAGGTCGGGGCGAGCTCCATTGCGCCGTTCAGCTTGACGCACTCGGCCTGCACCCCGCGCGCCGCGAAGTGGCGACTGGTGATATGCGGATATTTGGTCGCGACGCGACATGGCTCCACCCGCGGGGTCGTCGCTTTCCGCCATTGCGGCGGGCTCGGCGACGGAGATGCGACAATGGCCGATCTTGAGGTCGACCGGCGCATAGAGTTCGGAATAGCCGAATTCGGACAGCACGTCCGAGCCGACGATGCCCAGCTGCGCCGCGCCGTGCGCGACGAAGGTGGCGACGACGTCGAAGGCGCGGACGCGGATCAGCTCGATGCCGGGGACGTCGGTCGCAGCGCAGTGCGCGGCTGTCCTTGTCGGTGAAGGCCGGTTCGGGCCGGATGCCGGCGGCGGCAGCAGCGGCAGCGCCTTCAGCCGTGATGCGTCCCTTGGGGACGGCGATGATCAGCGGTTGGGCCATGAGGATCGGGGCTTACCCACCCCATCGGGGATCGCAACGGCGGTGTGGGATTTCCTCCCTGCAAGGGTGTGTTGAGCTTTGGTCTGCCCCCTGCAGACCAAGATTGTGCCGGGGGCACAATCTCGCTCGAACACGAAGCTGGTGGAAGGGTGTCGCCCTATCGAGAGCGGGATACCTTTCGTCAGGCCTGACGGCCTGCCACCTCCCCTGCAAGGGAGGAATGCGTACTTACACCTTCGCGGCGTAGATCATCCGGCCGGGGCCGAGATTGGCGAAGACGCGGTCCAGTCATTCTCGCCGACCGCGAAGCAGCCCTCGCTGCGGCCGAGCATGCCATGAACTGATCATGTCGCGATTGGCGTACCAAGCCGAATGGATCACGATCGCGCGGCCCAGCGCATTGTTGTTGGTCGGGTCGAGCCCGACCAGTCGCTGCGACCGGCCATGTTTGCCGACATAATAATTGTCGGTCAGGAAGGCGCCCTCGCTGCTGGCGTTGGAATTGAACGCGTTGGAAAAAGCGCTGGAGATAGCCGCTATGCGACGGGTCCGACCTGCTGCCATGCGCGACGAGCAGCGACTGGCTCTTGCCGCTGATTAGGTCGACCAGATGCAGGCGCGGCTCGGACGAGCCGGCGGCGAAATCGACGATCGCCATCCGGTCACGCTGGCGCACGCGGCTGCCATGCTTTTGTAGCGCCGCCATCGCCTCGCGAAACAAGGGCGAGCGGACGACGCGCGGCGAGGCGAAGGCCGGCCGTGGCGACCTCGGTCGGCTTCGGCATGGTCGGATGGTTGGGCAGCGGCGGCTGATGTAGCGGCCGCAAGTCCCGCGCCGTCAGACGCTGGCGCGCATTGACTGCCCCTCGGTACTGCCAGTGCGCCGGCCCGACCAGCGCATTCTTCAACAGCGCGCGCCGACCCGGCGCCGCGTCCAGATTTTCGAGCATTGCGATCCTTCTAACCCAGAAGTCCCGCGACCTCAGATAGCAGAACAGAGGCGGAATTTCGCCCGCCGGCCATCGGTTGATCGCTTGGTTCCATCGATTCGACGAAAGTTCCGCGCGAGCGCAAAAATTTTCGCTCGGCACAAAATGTGGCTTGACGGGTTTAAGAAATTATGAACTCGCCGAAAAGGGATATGAAGGTTTGCTTTTGCCGCCCTGCTGGGCGCAACGACGCTGGTATAGCCGCGCCGGCCATGGCCGCCGATGACGGTGCCGCCACCACCACGATCGCTCAGGCTGCTGCCGCTCTCGCGCCGAATCGCTTTGTCTGGGCCGATCCGCAGATGATGGCGGTCGATCCGATGCAGATGCCGGTGACGGTTGTCGTGAGCATCCCATGCAGCGCGCCTATGTCTATCGTGGTGATACCATGGTCGCGGCGGCATCGGTGTCGACGGGCAAGGATGGAAGGACACACCGGTCATCATCTTCCCGATCCTCCAGAAGCGCGAGATGCATCACAGCAATCTCTATGACAGCGCGCCCATGCCCTTCATGCAGCGGCTGACCCAGGACGGCGTGGCGCCCATGCCGGCAAGAATCCCGGCTTTCCCCTGATCTGCATGGTTGCATCCGCCTGCCGGCGGCTTTTGCCAAAGCTGTTCTCGATAACGTCGGTCGGGACCAATGTGGTCGTCACCGATCAGATGGTCGGCGATCATTTCGATCCGGCGCTGCTCCAGACCGACGCGATGCAAGCGAATCAGGCGCAGCTCGCATCATTGACCGGTAAGCATTGGGCGTGGCCTTCGACTTCGCTCCGGCTGAACGGAGGGGCATAAGACCACCCGCTTTGTTTGCGCTGATCGAAGTCGAAACGCCCGTGCCTCAATGGGGCCATGCCATTTCCGCCTACCGCCTGGCACCCGGGCAGCCTGAGCGAAGTCGAAGGCCACGAGCATCGGCGTAGCTGGGCGAGCAATCCCATCAAGGAGCTGCGGCCGCAACGTCGTCGCGTCGCTAAAAAGTGCAACGCCACGATCCCCATCGCCGCCGCCGCATCGACATTGGCGCGATTGTCGTCGATGAACACCGCCTGATGCGGCTCCAGCCCGAATCGGGCGAGCGCCGGCGGTAGATGGCGGGATCGGGCTTCACGAGCTTTTTCGTCGCCTGACACGACGATGTCGCGAAAGCGATCGAACAGAGCGGCTTCGCGCGAACGGAAGGGCGGCCAGAATTCATGGCTGAAGTTCGTGATCGCGAACAGCGGCACGCCCGCCAGAATCGAGTTCGGCGACCAGTTCATGCATCCCCGGGATCGGATCGCCGATGCTCTCGCTGAAGCGTGGGCCCCGTGCGGCGATCAGATCGCGGTGCTGCGGATAAAGCGCGATCAGCCTCCGCCGAGGTGTCGGCGAAGTCGCGGCCGGCATCATGCTGAAAATGCCATTCGGTCGTGACGACGTCGCGCACAAATGCATCGAGCGCCCGATCGTCCGCGATCAGGCGCCGATACAATATGCGCGGGTCCCAGTCGTACAGGACACGCCCGACGTCGAAAATGACGGCGGTCGGCCGATCGGGGACGCAAGCCGGCCGACTGGCCGTGCGCGTCCGTGTCGATCAGCCACAAGGGTGATTAGCCCCTGCGCGCCTTTGAAACGACGGTTGGTCTTGTTGATGACGTAGGTGCGGCCGCGACGGCGGATCACGCGGTTGTCCCGGTGACGATCCTTGAGCGACTTCAGGGAATTGCGGATCTTCATGATCGATTCGCTTCTTTTGAACTGGAGGGATCTGGAAAGCGTCGCCGCCCTAGTGGCAATGCCGCCCCCAAGTCAAGGTTGGGACATGACATCGAGTCACTTGGGCGGATGGGATGCAGGCCGCCTCTTCCGTTGGGGGATCATCGCCCATATGTCATGCGTTGCCTATCCGCAACATCTTCCCATCCGTTATCTCGAAGGTGCCCTCAACCCATGAAAGCCCGCTCGCTCCTGATCCTCGCGGCCGCCGCCGGTACGCTGGCCGCCCTGTTCCACCACGGGCGGGCGCCTGCCGCCGACCGAGGATCCGCTATCACCGGCGAACCGATCGCGCGCGGCACCATCCGGGTCGAACCGCTGTCGAACACCGGCCCGGCCAGCATCGAGTTCAAGACCTATGCCGCCGCCGTCGAAACCGCGCTGCTGCGCAATGGCTATTCGCTGCCCCAGGGGATGCGCAGCCCGATTATATCGACCGTGTCCTTCACCCGCGCCAATCGGCTGGGCCGCGCCCCTCGCCCTTTTCGATCATTCGGCGGCGGCAGCTTCTCAGGCAATCGCGGTGGCGGCGTCGGGCTGGAGCGGAGGCTGAGCTTCCCGATCGGCAAGAGCCGCCCGCAAGAGATCATCGGCACCGAGCTGTCGGTCCAGATCAAGCGCCGCATGGACCAGTCGCCGATCTGGGAAGGCAGCGCGCGCAACATCGCGCCGGTCGAAACGCTGGCCAAGATCGACGCGCAGGCACAGGCCGCCAAGCTGGCCGATGCGCTCTTCACCAAATTCCCGGGCGATCGGTCGTACGATCGAGGTGAAGTGACGTGAGCGACCTGACGATCAACGCCGCGTTCGACGGCGGCAATATCCGCGTGGTGGGCATCGAGGGCGACCGGGTCGACCTGGAAATCGTCAACGACCATCAGTCGGACTTCTACCAATGGTTCTATTTCCGCGCCGGCGGGGTGAAGGGCGGACGCTGACCTTCCGCATCCCCAACGGCGCGGGGTCGGCCTATCCCTTTGGCTGGCCGGGTTATCATGTCCGCGCTTCGACCGATCGGCGTGACTGGCGGATGACGCCGACCCACTATGCCGACGGGGTCATCGAGTGGAAGTGGGCGGGCGAGACCGATCTCGTCTGGTTCGCCTATTTCGAGCCCTATACGATGGAACGGCATCACGACACGGTCGCGCGGATCGCGGCCAAGGGTGTGAATCACGAGCAGATCGGCGAGACGCTGGACGGCCAGCCGATCGATTATCTCCGCCTCGGCACCGGTGCCAAGCAGGTATGGCTCTATGCCCGCCAGCATCCCGGCGAATCGATGGCCGAATGGTGGATGGAGGCGCGCTCGACTGGCTGACCAGCCCGGCGGCCGAATCGCTGCTGGCGGCGGCGACCGTCCATGTCGTGCCCAACATGAATCCGACGGCACGCGGCGCGGGCTTTCGCACCAATGCGGCGGGGTGAACCTCAACCGCGAATGGCATGATCCCACGCCCGAGCGCAGCCCCGAGGCCATTGCGTGCGCAACCGGATGGACCAGACGGGCGTCGACTTCGCGATCGACGCGCATGGCGACGAGGCCATCCCGGCCAACTTCATCGCTGGCTATGAGGGATTCCCAGCTGGACCGAGATCACGGCGCCAAATTCTATGAATTCGGCCGCCGCTTGGCCCGCGCACACGCCCGATTTCCAGACCCAGATGGGCTATGAAAAGGCGAGCGCGGGCAATGCGAACCTGTCCATGTCGACCAACCAGCTCGCCGAGCGATCTGGCGCGGTGTCGGTGACGCTGGAAATGCCGTTCAAGATCACGATCCCAATCCGGACGCGGTGCACGGATGGTCGGGCGAGCGTTCGGCGAAGCTGGGCGTGTCGTGCCCGGAGGTGTTGAGCGAGATGATCGGAGAGATTTGACGGTAGCGGGGAGCCCCGTGGAACGGGCTTCCGCCAGCCTTCGACGGCGCTCAGGCTGAGCGGCCTTTGGGTTGTATCGGACATTCCCCGCTCCGTTCAGCCTGAGCGAAGTCGAAGGCCACGCCCCAACGCCTATCGCCGCACGCCCTCCGCCGCGAGATAGCGGTCCAGTTCCGCCAGCACCTGCGCCAATCCGGCATCATCCGCGCCTCGGCACGCACCGTCAGCGCCGCCTGCGTATTGACGCGCGCAGCAGCCACCAGCCATCCGTGGTCTTCACCCGGACGCCATCGGTATCGTTGATCTCCGCCCCTCGGTCCGCAGCGCCGCCGCTACCCGGTCGACGATGGCGAACTTCTCCGCCTCCGCCACCTTGATCCGTGTTTCGGGGATATCGACCATGGCGGGCATGCTTCCCGCAACTCGGTCATTGAGCGCCCCGCCAGATGTACCGCACGGATCAGGCGGATCGCGGCATAATGCGCATCGTCGAACCCGTACCATTCGCCCGCGAAGAACATATGGCCCGACATCTCACCGCCCAGCGGCGCGGCCGTTTCGACCATTTTGGTCTTCATGAGGCTGTGGCCGGTCTTCCCACATCACCGGTTGGCCGCCCAGCGCCGCGATATGGTCGAACAGCACCTGCTGGTTTTCACATCGGCGACGATCGGTGCGCCGGGATGCTCGGCGAGCGTGGGGTGGCCAGGATCATCAGGATCTGGTCACCCCCAGATCACCCGGCCCGCCATCGACCGCACCGATCTGATCGCCATCGCCATCGAAAGCGAATCGAAATCGAGGCGTCTGTCGGCGACCAGCCGTTTCAGCGCCTCTAGATCTGGCCTCGACCGTCGGATCGGGGTGATGATGGGAAATGACCGTCCACATCGGTGAACAGCGTATGATGCTCACCGGCAGGCGCTGCACGAGCTTTTCGATGACCGGCCCCGCCGCGCCGCTGCCGCAGTCCCAGCCGATCCGATATTCGCCGCCCGCAAAGCCCGCGACCAGCCGATCGACATAGGCGTCGAGAATATCATGCTGCTCGACCCGGCTGGCCCCTTTGCGTCCAGTCGCGCGCCGCCGCCATCCGCGCTAGATCCCGTACATCCTCGCCAAAAAGGGGCGATGATGCAGCACCATCTTGAAGCCATTGTCGTCGCGGGGTTGTGGCCCCGTTACCTGTACGGCGCCGTCCACTTTTGGCGTCGCCCTGGCGAAATAGACCATCGGCGTAGGCCCCAGCCCAGCCGGACGACACGCGACGCCGCTGTCGGTCAGCCTCGATCAGCGCGGCTTCAGCGCGGGCGAATCCTCAGCCGCCCGTCGCGGCCGACCGCGACGGGTAAACGCCTGCGCGCCGCAACCGCGTCGCAAAGCCGCGCCTGACCGCATAGGCGGCGCCTTCTGTCCAGTTAAGTCTCGCGACGCAAAGTGCACGTCATACTCACGCAGCGCCGTAGGTGGATCGCGGCGGCGCGCCAGCCATTGCGGCGATCCAGCAGCAGGGTTGCGCGCGGCGTTCACCTGCCGCGTCAGATCGGCCGAGCTGCCGCGATCGGATGGACCGCCGACCAGCCGGCGATGCGCACGGCGGATCGCTTCCGCATCCCCCGGGCGGCAGGTCGAGGATCGCCAGCGCCTCGGCCTCATCCGCTGGCAGCCGGGTTGTTGCAGCGGCCTTTCTGGGGCGCGGCAGATGGCGCCACACCAGCCAGATCACGAGCAGCGCGAGCAGCCATCACGCAGCGACCCGATCAGGCCGCATCGGGGCGCGCCCGGGTTCCGCCAGCCTCGGGCAGTTGTAGCGCCGCCATCATCTCGCGCAGTTCCTGCCGCGCGGCGACATGGCTCCAGCCCCATCGCGCCAGCGAATTCCTTGGCGTCGATCATGGTCAGGCCGTTGGGGAACATCTCGCGATAGATGACGCGCTCGCCCAGCCCAGGATTACCCGAAGCCGACGCGACGCGACAGATCTGTCAGCGCATCGGACACGCGGCGCATGTTGCGCGCCCGATATGCTGCAAACCGGTTGCGCAGCACGACCCAGTCGATGGTGGTGCCATCGGCGCGCGCGCGCTAACGCGCGTCCCAGATCAGCTCGAATAGAAGCTGGGGCGCGTCACCGAACGTCTCCGGGTCGACCTG